TCATATTGTAAATTGCCTAATTTTCCCTGCTGGAATTTTTTGCAATTTGATGATTTTCACTGCTACAAAATTCTGTGATTTTTACTGATAGGTAAAATTTGTGAAAATTTGTTTCTTATGAAATGCGTTATAGTAATCACAAAAGTCATCATAACATCAAGATTCTGTGCTGTGATTGGTCAATAACAGTCACATGAGTCATCATAACATCCAGACTGTGTTGTGATTGGCCAATAACTGTCACATGAGTCATCAGTCATTAACATTCTCAAGAACCCACCCAAAATAAATAAACGCCTGATGCTCATTTTTAGTAATGCAATTATTTCTTTTTTTGATGCAGACCTGCAGCAGCCAGGAAACTTGTTGTAGAAGAAGGCATTAAATCCATTGAAGGTAAGAAATATATATGAATATTGTCATTACAGTACATTCAAAATTTAAATTTGTAAAAAGAGAAGCACAACCAATAATTGTGATTATCATTTTTACCAGCAAATTTTTATTACATTTTTCAAATTTCTTTGTATTCTTTTTTAGAATTTCTTTGTTACCCAGATACTTAATAGCTAATAGTACTTATCTTGCTCAACATTTTTTAAGAGAATATTGAGAAAGATTAGTGTGTTTATTTTGCAAAAAGACAGCAAGTTGACTTGGGCATTCAAAATGTATTATTCTTTTCCTATGTTGATTTGACCTTTTGTTAATTTGTTTTTCTCTGATAGAATTGAAGAATCACACGGACAAACTGAACCATCATCAGAAAATAGGACTTCGGTAAGTCAACGGTGAACAATGCAAACTGTTTTATTTTGAAAGAAACCAATGCTTGCCATTCAGAACAAATGTTGAAATGTTGTGACGTGAAATTTCAAACTGCCACGCGTGATGATTCAAAGCAAAATATTTTTTGGGGGGATAATAACAATAAACTTTTACAGCTAAAATAGCATAGCTTCGTCATTCATGTAAGCAGAGATTTGTCATAAAATAAGAAATATAACATTCCCAGTTATGGCACTAAAATATATGCAACTTTTTTTAGCTCCGCTGTCCACAAAGTCGTCCGTCGTCGTAAACTTTACATTTTCAACTTCTTCTTCGAAACCACAAGTCAGAATGTTTTCAAATTTGATATGCAAGTACCGGTACTTTGGATGGTTCTTTCTCAGATTTGTTCATCTAATGTCAAAATCTCAAATTCTCTATTTTTGGGGAATATTTTTGTCATTTTTGGTAAAAAGTGATATTTTCGACTTCTTGTTAAAAACCATAAGTCCGATTGCTTTGATATTGCATATATAGGTACTACATATAGACCTCTCTCAGATTTGTTCATTTTGTTATGATATCTTCAATTCTCTAATATTGGTGAATATTTTTGTAATTTTTGGTAAAAAGTAATATTTTCAAATTCTTGTTGAAAACAGCAAGTCCGATATCTTTGATACTATACATATTGTTCATTTTCTAATGATATCTTCAGTTCTTTAATTGAAATGTGCCTTGCTAACAGCGGAGCTATCTCAGTCGACAGGCTGCTTGTTTTTGTATTTTATGACTTTTTATTGGGTACCGGTAATCTTATAGGTACATACAGTAAATTGTGTTATAAATGTTACATATCTGTATAATTGTTGTCAGTTTACATTTCTCCAGTTTATGTTATACATGGTATTAGTGGGTTCCATTTTTTCAGGTGTTGTAGCATTTTGTTGTTTGTATTTACAATAAAGCTTTCGCATTGGTATACTCTCTTTACATATGGTAGCAAACCCTTCAAGTTTCGTTTCATGTCATTCATTTTACAGTGATAGATATGTTTTCATGTTAGCAGACCAATAAAATTCACTATCAGTGATTCATCTGGATTTGAGAATATCATACATATTCTACTTGGTGGATTTATTAATTTCAATGATTTTCCCCAACTAAACAACAGATCTCGCCAGAGGGCAACTGTATATTAACATTCCTAGAAAAGATGTTCAATGCTTTCTGGGTTTTCATGACAAAATGTACACCTCTATGTGGAAAATACATGCAACTTTGTCATTCATTAAATCTCTGTTGTAGGCACCATGCTGATTTTGAGACTCGAATCCCAAGAGCTGAAGTTACAGTAATAGATCAGGTTTTACAGAAAGAACTAAAATCTTTAGATGATGGATATATTGGGATGATTTGTGGTAGTTACAGACGAGGCAAAGAATCAAGTGGTGACGTTGATATGTTGTTAACTCATCCAACATTCACTTCACAAAGTGGAAAAAAAGTAATAATTTTAATTGTCTTGTTTTCTTCAAAAACTGCAAACGTTTTAATTTTCTAATTCTAATTTTAAAATGAAGGCATATGCGACAGACAGCCATATTGTGTATTGTTGACAAACAATCATCTACCCATGAGCCTTTGCATTTTTAGTGTGCATTGTTATCATTGCTTAGGACTTAATTCTACCCATGTGCAGGTGACAACCCTCTCTATATTAAATGAGTAAATTCTTTTAGCTGTCAGGTATTGCTATCGAATAATTATGACCTGATAATTATTATTATTATTAGATTATATCCATTACTACAATCTCACCTGATGACATCAAAAATTGATATTATCGTGAAATTGTCATATTACCATCCGTCATACTCTGCACCACATTAATTTCGTTCAAGACAAATTTATCATGGATTTCACGAGTCGATGATAATCAGCAAATATTTGTAGCAGTGAAAATTTCTCTGCTGTCTCTGGTCCTCATGAATGTAATAAAATTCTGAAATGACAAAAATTTAGGCAATGAAAATTAAACAGTTTACAGTATCTTAAAAAAAAATATTTTGTTTATTTTTATTATTTTATTTTTATTCCTTCTTCTTCGTTGGCAGCCTACTTTGCTGAAAGCTGTTGTGAAACAACTTGAAAAAACTGGATTTGTGACGGACACTATATCGTTTGGTGACAGTAAATTTATGGTAAGAAAACTTTATCAACTTTAGAGATTCAGAAGTAAAATATGATTGGCAAATGAGATGCTGAATTGTTTGACTTTGAGATACAAATCCCACCAATATTTCAGAAACCACACCCACTTTTGCGAAACCATGCCTAAATTGTAACTCAGTGTTTAATTAACAGTTAACATAACTTTGAGTTAGGGGCAACATACATTTTTTGTTTTGTTTAATGTTCACATTTATTAAAGCAACAGTTAACCAAATTTTGACATTTTAGTATGATAATAAAGACTAAATTGACTAAAAAGACCAGTGCATTATAAAAATTGAAGCGAATAAATTACTTTATTGTCATTTGGAATTTATTTTCGCTGTAGCAATAAATCAGTGGTAATAAAATCCAGTGAAAATACCTTTTTTTCCTTATACTTCACATTCAAATCATCAAAAATCAGTGAACATACATAAACTTCATACAAAACAGTAAAAATGTCTTTTCAGCGAAAATTAATTCCAGCTTAAAATAAAGCATTTAACAGTAAGAACAAAACTTAATGTAAGTCATGTACCTAATGAAGCTGTGATCACAATAGACCGACTGTCATACACGAGAATAATGCGGATTACTGTTTATTAATGCACTCTGATGTTTTGTAAACAAACATCTCATTATACCTACACATGTACTGTATTTGCTATATTAGTAAAGCGTATGCTTAGATAAATAACAGTCATGTAGCTTTTTTTTCTAAAATCACATCTTCTCATATTCTAGGGAGTATGTAAATTACCTGACGCCGAGGACGGTACAAAATATTTATATCGTAGACTAGATCTGCGAATTATTCCCCATGATCAATACTTCTGTGGTACGTTGTATTTCACTGGAAGTGATTTATTCAATAAAGACATGAGAGGCAAGGCATTGGAAGAAGGATTTACTTTAAATGAGTACACAATAAGACCAATGGGAAGTACCGGTAAGTCATTAACATTTTTAACCCTGCTGTCATCATGGATGACAGAGCGGAGTTGTTCATATAGCTGATTATCCGTTGTCCGTCAGCAATTGCATTTTCAACTTCTTCTCAAAAACTACCAGCACAATTGCTTTGATACTTAGTACCTTAGGTTGACCTCTGTCAGATTTGTTAATTTTGTGGCGATATCTTTAATTCTCTATTTTTGGCAAATATTTTTGTAACTTTCAAAAAAAAAAAAATTCTTCTTCAACACTACAAAAGCCGATTGCTTCGATATTTGAGGTGTACATTATTTTTGTGAACGTGTAAAATAGCAGACTGTCAAATTGCTTGTTTTTACCAATATGTGAGCTTCCTCATGAAATACCAGATGTAGGCAAGGATTATTTTATTATTCATTTGTTTATTTATTTCAATATTATGATTACTAATGCCCACTATTTATTGTAGGTATACCTGGGGAACCACTTCCTGTCGAGTCTGAGGAGGATATATTTGACTACATTGGTATGAAATTCAAGAAGCCATCAGAGAGAAATATGTAAACAAAGCATCTTGAGGTTATTCTGAAGATGGAGGTAAATTTTTACCTCCATGTTCAGATGTACAGGGTGCAAAGATGAATACATGTGTGCTGTTCATATTGTGACCAGCGCCCTCTACCAGTTGTGGTGACACTAGTCTTTAGTGGGTCATGGAATAAACCAGACAAAAAAACAGACAAATGTTTACACCAAAATGTTTCTGCACAATTTGCACAGTTTTTTTACCATCTCACATCCCAGAGTGTCTAATGCTCAACCCCTTACATGAATAAGTTTTTGTATGCAATATACTTTTTTTTTTTATAGGAACATCTTGTTCCACTACAGATGTAGTATTTTGTCATCACTAGGAAACTTGTACTCTGAGTCCAACAAATCTAAGTTCAGTTTAAAATTCACCGTGTCATGTTTGCTCTGATGATTTGGCAAACTCAATATTTGATTTATTCAAAAGAATAGAATTATTTTATAGGTTTATTCTGTAACAAGACTGAAGTGAGAAAAGTTGACTATTGCACTGAAATGGTTGGATGGAATACAATGCTTTTTTCAGAATTTTTTATATGAACCTGAGTGAAATTGTTGGCTTTCAACATGCACTAGTTTTATATAAGTGCATATGCTACAAAAAGCATGACACACTGTAATTCATTTAACATGGCTTGCCAAATTATTAATAAATATTTCTTAAATATGGTATTCAGTCTTTTTAACAAAAAATGCACATTGTAAGTCACGTTCAGTCTATAATGAAATAAAGTATGGTATTTCTTTTTAGTATAATGTTTTTACTAATTCGTGATGTCAGATTCTTGGCTCATCTACGAATGCACACCCATGAATATTTTACTAGTCAGTTCGTTGCGTCTAATGACAACTACAATGTATCAACCAAGGTATTTTATATTTATTTATTGCACTATATTTAACCAGGATATTTTTGTGAGTCCATTACAACTCCGAAAATAGTTCTATAATTTCCAATGGAGTCCTGCAAAAAAAAAACAGAAAAAAAAACATTTCAATAGCTGAAAAAAAAACTATATTTAACATATATTACACAATTTTGCAGTACATGTACTAGATTATTTAAAAAAAAAATTATCAGTTTTAAACATACAAATGTCCTGTACTGATTGTAATTCAACAGGCGAACAAAGATGCCTCTATAGAAAAAGTTTTCTTGCCCTTATCCAAACAAGAAAGTTCACAAGTCTTTTTTTTTTGGCCAAGATTTGTAGAAATTCTCCAAATAGCTTCAATTCTTCTCAAACAGATTGAACAATCGTATTTCCATGATCATCTCAAGTTAGGTACCAATCCAAAATAACTCCCAGGAATTCAAAATTGTTAACATCAATGTTGTAATTATTAGTCCCCGTTCGGACGAAGTTTGAAAACGGGGACTTATAATTCGGTCGCTGTCTGTCCGGAGTCGTATTTCAGAATCCTTTGGACCGATTCCGCTCATTCTTTGCATGTGCTTAGTTCTTTATGTGGGACATATGCACATGCAGTGGTTTAGCGATTTGATTTAAAATGGCCGACTGGCAGCCATCTTGTTTTTTAAAATTTTGTATTTTGGACATGCTTTGTTTGGGACATAGATTATACATGTTAGAATACATGTCCTCAATTGTCCGTGCATCCGTCTGTGCGTCCATTTGTCCAGAGTCATATTTCAGAATTCTTTGAACCTATTCTGTTCATTCTTTGCATGTGCATCTTGTTTATTTTTTTAAATGTGGTATCTTGGACATGCTTTTTCAGTTTTCATTACCTTGCCCGTACCATCAAAGATGGGAGGGAAAGGTATATTAAGGGAAAAATTTTTTGTCCGGTGTTGTTGTTTTCGTTGTCGTCGTCGTTAATAATTGTTATTGTGTGCATAATAACTTTACTAATTCTATTCCAAACTTTATCAAACTTGGTCACCTTATTCATCAGTATAAAGTCTTCCCTGAGTTTGAACAACAGATGTCCTGTATGAAAATATCATGCAAAAATTGAGAAAATCTGATAAAATATTTTGACTGTTTCTACTTGACTGATCATCAAAGGTCACTGAAATATGCATTGTTGTATGTGTTCAATGAAGCAAATGATTTATCTTGTAATAATATCCTTGGTAA